CGTTTTAGGTAGGCGTGGTTGACTCTTAACTTTTATAAAGAATATCTCTTTGGATTTGAGACTTTAGTCTTTGCAACTTTACAGATCTTCTTTATGCACCAAGAGCTTGTAACACTTCAAAAAGAAAGGAAAAATTGAAATCGCATGATATGACCCCTTTAAAACGATCTATCCAAAAGAACCTTTTCGTGGAAACGAATCAGATTTCTAAACATTATTAGCGAGCAAGAGGCAAATTAATGGGTGCTTCTCAAAACGGAAGGCTGCATCCTCAAACTCAGACGAGCTCAGTAACAACTTTTCATTCAGTTTATTTTCGTGAATTGACGTTCAGCGACGTTTGATGGCGTAGCAGCTGAGATATGCAGCCTTTGTAGGATGCAGCCTTCCGTTTGAGAGGCACCCATAGATAAGCTTTGTTGAACTGAAAACAGCTCTGGATGAGGAGTCGATTCCCCTTGATGGGATTCTTTTTGGAAGCGATTCCCAGCCCTAGTGTGAGGGCTCGCGGCGCTCTTCAGAGACAATCACAGAATATGACAGATCTCGTGTTTAAAAGCGAAACACACTGGAATTAATAATTCACTGAAAACGCAACGCGAGTCTCTGTTCTCTCTGCAATCTCTGATGTAATCAGCCTGGTTTCATTTATATTAGCGCTGTTTTGGACGGATTGTTTGAATGCATTCGCTTACTGGATCATTGGACTGAAAACTTTCCCGGAGTTTAGCAGCTTAAAATGATCTGATCGCAAGCAGAGAAGCAAAATTGGGTTAAAGGGTTAGAATAGAAATTGTGCTTCAGTAATTTTGCGTTAATTGCATTCAATTATTTTAACGATGTTACGGGTTGTAAAATTAATTGCATGCGTTAAAGTGTTAACGTTGACAGCCCTAATATATATATATGTATATATATATTTGATGAATCTTTCAACATTGTGTGTTTGTCCACACAATGAAATTATTAGAATGTTAGAATGACATGAGGGTGAGTAAATGGTGACAGAATTTTCATTTTTGGGTGAACTGTCCCTTTAAGGCGAGTCATATGTTGTTGCCATGTTTCAGAACAGACTATGGGAATAAATTACATCCAGACAAGGAACCATTTAGTCAATATAGGGACTAGAAAATAGAAATTGCTGTAACAAAGGGTGGAGGAGTGGTAAAAAGAGATCAATAGAGTAAACTGTGTTTCCTTGTATGCATTTCTTCTGCTAATCCTCCTGAGGTACATGATCTTAGGGTAAATTCCATCTCTGCCTTGTGGGAAAGATATTTTGGGACTTTTGGTAGATATATATATATATATATATATATATATATATATATTAAAGACTTGACCACTCACTCTCTCTTTCTCTCTCTCACACACACACATGCACACACACATACAGGCCAAATAAAATGTTAACAGAAATCTTACAAGTCATTATTATAACACCTTGGAGCTAAACAGAACCTCTAATGTATTAAGGACAGACAGAATTTGTGTTTAATGGTACACTTCCATTCAAAAGTTTTGGGTCAGTAAGATTTTTTATAATGTGTTTTTGAAAGAAGTCTCTTATGCTCACAAAGCTGCATTTGTTTGATCAAAAAAACAGTAAAATGGTAAAATATTATTACGATTAAAAATCAATGTTTTCTATGTTAATATTTCTTGCCATTGCAAAGCTGCACTTTAGCAGCCCATTCTGTTTTCATGATCTTTCAGAAATCATTCTAATATGCTGATTTGGTTCTTAAGAAACATTTAGGGTGCTTTCACACCTGGCCCGTTGTTTCGGAACCTGTCGCGCTTCCCCCCCTTAGCTCGGTTCGTTTGGGCATATGTGAACACGGCAATCACGCTCGGATCCACGCCAAAACAATCGGTCCGAGATCGCCTGAACGAGGTGGTCTCGGCTCGATTGAAAACGAACTCTGGAGCGGTTCGGTTGTAGTGAGAAAGCAATCCGATCCAACGGACCAACGAACCAGGCTATATCATAATGCATAATGGGTAATTACGTAAGTTCCGTGAAAAGCATTAGCTTTGTTGTTTTGCTAATACTTCAAAATGAACCTGTGAATGTCTGTGGGTGAGCACGTCTTCGCCATTTAAAATAAAAAAGCGCCCTTTTTCATTATATAATGCAGTCTTATTGCTCTTCTTCCTAGTAGGTACATTTTAAAAATGTTTTCCCGATGAATCCTGGACTCCTGCTCAAAATGTTAAATTAATATTAGGACAGCTACAAAAAAAAAAGCTGTTGTCGTTCCATCCTGACGGATGACAGCTAAGTGGAATCCCTGAAAATAAACCGTGGAACTTTGACCAATGAGACAACAGTTTACTCGCGCGTGACTTGTATTAACAAATTTGGTCCGTTTAGAAACTTTGCCGTGTGAAAGCGAACCGCACCTAGAATAAAAAGCAACATTGTAATAATTTTAATCCCTGTTTCGGAACAAAGCAATCGATCTAGAGGTGTGAAAGCACCCTTAGACTGTGGAATTCTGGGCTCTCTGTTGACATCTATGGACGAAACATAAAATTACAGATGATCATTTTTTGTTTGTTTTTTGTGTAAGTTATAGTATGAAAAAATTCCATCAAGATCAGACTGTTGTCTGCCAAAGTAGCATATCTGTCGCCATAGTAGACATACTTTCTCAGATGTAAACACATGCAGGGATGCGATATCCGTCTTTTTACATTACCAGTAGTACCAACTCAATTCTGTACCAGCTCGAAGTCAGCTGCTCTGAAAAAATTTGTTTTTGCGAGTTTACGGAGTCCTACACGCTCGCAGATCTTCCTATTATAATAAGGGAAAAAATGCATACACATAGTATGCATATAAGTGATTGATTGTGTATTTAGTGATCGCATGAGTAAGCTTGGTCAGTTCAGATTTGTTATTTGGAGAGCACCCTTTGCTTGGTTTCTTTATTATATTTGCGCAGCACGCGCTGTCTGACGAGGCTCTCCGTGTGCGAGTACCGCGATATGTA